GGTAATGCCCACTGAGCTAGATAGCTCTTTTTCAGAAGCGACCTGACCACAAATGATAGCTCTACGTGTAGTGGCGATTCATAATCGTGTGGGGATGTACAGCATCAGCAGCCAAGTATTGTTGTTACACACCCAGATCGCGTTAACTTTACCCATCGCTGGCTCCCGCAAAAAGTCGGAATGCCAGATTTCACAAGCCAACTGGAACCATTGCAACATTAATCGAGGGCGGGTTAAATTCGACGCGGAATTATATAATACAAGCACACACTTTTTACTTCAGTCAGAATTTTACCCAAGAAAGAATCAAGAAGTCGCAAGACTCGTTTTTTTTTCAAGTTGGGCTCCTGCTCGTTATATTTGGCCAATGCCTCTTCTCTATACATATATACTATATACATATAAAAGGGAATGTGTGTCTGCAACAAACTTGAAATTTACCATGTGGGTACTTTCCAGACTATACCATGCAAAAATTATAAAAATAGACTTTTTAAAAAAATTTGGGGGTGGGAGGCGCAATAATGCATTTATTTTCCTGTGACGTCACATCTGTCATGTGACCCGCGCATGTGGAAGGGTAACGGAGTGTGCCTGCAGACCGCGGGTAAAGTGAAATAGAAATGTGTTGCAGGTCTAAGGCGTTCTTCGCGCAGCATTGCTTTATTATTTCAGTCGTTTACTGCCGCACGCACCCTGAAAGTTGCGTGTGTCTGCAGCAAGCGCGTGTTTGTGTATCTATGGACGCGCGTGCGTGTGTGTGTGGGGAGCGGTGGTGTAGCGGTTAGCACGCTGTCTGTGTGTTTAGTGTAGCGGTTAGCGCTACGCTGCGCTACGAACCCGGCGACCCGAGATCGATTCCCGCTCACGGCCACCACCGGTGACGATTATTTGAACCGGTCCTGGGCCTCCCCTAGGTCGACTCAGCCTCAAAGGAGTAACTGCTGTGGTGTTTGAGCATCGCCACTGGGGAGACAAAGGTGGTTGGGCGTGGTGAATCCAAGTCCCGGGCAGTAAAGCTAGTATGTTATACAACACACATATAAGATAGCATAGCACAAAAATACAAGAAAACAAACACCTTCATCATCACTGCTTCTGAAGAGAAAATACAAATAGTGGAATGGCTTTTTAGAGCTCAATATGACTATTTTATAGAAATGTATGTTGAACTTCTTTCTCACCGTACATTGCCGAGCCTACTTATCGGAAGTGCGGGGGAAGGACAACAAACTAAACACAAAAAGCAGTTCTAAAGAAATTAGTTTTTAATCTAGATGATTTAAAAGTGCGTAGCTCCAGTGGCTTCCTAATGTCGGAAGGAAGAGCGTTCCAGACGGCCGCAGAAGCGCGTCTGGAAGTGCGCGTTGCGGTGACCGTCTTTCTGCTGTAAAGCAGTGTTAATGGACAAGGCCCAATAGACCACATTGGAAGCTAAGCAAGAGTGAGCATGGATAGTGCTTGGATGGGTGACCACATTGCCTACCAGCTGTTTAATGGTTGCGATGGGGCTACATTGTGGGCAACATAGACAAATGCAATGTTGTACTGTATTATGCACACGGTTCATGCCTCCTGCTTCCACCAACCTGCACGGTGAAGTATGGTCAAAACCAACTAATTGAACATAAGGTGTGGGGAGGCCTTCATCCAGTAGTGGATACAAAACGAGCTTTACATGCAACAATGCTTACACGGCAGAGCCAACGCAGCTGCCCGTGTTCATTTTGCAACGATGGGGGCTAACATTGTCGCTCAATCATCACAGTTCGGTCCGCAGCTGACTTGCTGCGCGCTACCTCCTGAAAGCACCACGCTGTTTCCAGCGGGTGCATGTCTCACGCGCGGTTTGTCTCGGTGGTTCACGGATCCTCTCCTTCAAAGTTGCTGTATTCACAGCTGTGCCTTGCCACCCCTCCTTGTCTTGCCAACTAGACGTGTTTAGGATGTCACACATACTCAATCCGCATTCGAAAGTCCCAGTGCAACCGCAGGATTATATATATATATAACCTCCCAAATAGCTAACTGGAGCCACTGCAATGGGGGTGGGAAGTTGTGGAATGAACTTTTTCACCCCACACGACCGCGTGGGTGATTCCATGGCGTTTTTTTACTTCTCTGTGCAGCTCTTCAAAGTATTTTCGCCTCGCGCCGCGCGTTGTTCGGCGCGGTGTCCGACGTTTCGCTGAAATTTTTTGCCGAAGAAGCCCGCCTGGCGCGTGGATGCGGCGCGTCGTTCATCGTACCGAACGGCACGCGACTGCGACCCGAAAACTCGCCGGGGAGCGCGACGTCGCGCGGCCCCCGCGTCGCGTCGAGCCGTTTCGCCGTAGTTCCCGATTTTAGTTTTCAGGTTCCTTGTTTTTGTTTCTCGTTTTTGCGTGTCGCCGATTCAGTTGCGTGTTGCGAGCAGAGACAAAGCAACGTTCGCGACGCACTGCAACGAGACTCGACGCGACTCCGAGAGATGAATCGTGGGGGGGTGGGGGTGGCACGGATGTCGGCAACCCCGCGAGACGTTATTCACAAGGAGCCACTCCTCGTCGCCAGTTTCCTCAATTATTTCGTTGGATTGTTTTAACTTTTTTATCCGCGGTGTAAGCTGGCTTGCGGCACTTGCACACCTTTTGTTTCATAACAATTACACCGATTTGCTGCATTTTGGCTGAAAGTCAAAGGCTGTTGGCAGATTTTTAGCTGTGGCCTTTTGCCATTGGAAATGCATTAGCGCCGCGCTTGATGATTCATGCCCGTGCAGACAATCCACTGCGTAACAATGACTTAGAATAACACGAAAAGAGATAACAGTCGGTAATGCTCAGCGCTTTTGTCTATCTACTGCTGGATGAAGACCTTCCAGCGCCATGTCGGTCGTCGGGAGGATTGTACGACCATACTTCACCACGTCGATTTTTTTTTTGCGGAGAGAGGTGGCCCAGGACCGGTTCGGACGTCACTCGACACTGACGTTAGCCCTGGCGGGGAATCGAACTGGGGCTTCTGGGTTTTCTTGCGAGTCTCTCGGCTCATGCTACACAACAGGGGTCATGCTCGGGATGTTGGCCCAATTATTTAGCAGGATTGTCTTGTTTCTGTACAAGGCAACTGCAGTGACTTGGGGAAACCCACAATTGCAATAAGTAAATAATACAGGACATTTCCCAGGGTAATAATCCTGCTGCATTTCTGACGTAGGGATGTACGCGTTGAACTTCTTTTGCACCGTACGTAGCCAACCGTGCAAATCGGAGGTGCCTGGTGATTGGAATTATTGGAGCCCCTTGTTTGCAGCTGCCAACCAAACCGTCGGTCTAGCAGGCTGACTCTGCTGCCCTGACCCACACTGCGTTCAGCCTCCACACTGCGGGCCTACACTCTCCCCTCTCTGCGCCTCTCCTCGCGCCGCTCCACTTTGGAACTCCCTCTCATATACTCCCTTTTGCCGAACAATTATATCCTGGCTCGATTCAAAGTCGCGTTACCTCCTTTGTGCTTGCAACTTCAAGAGCGATGTTTGTTGCTGTACTGATGGAGTTTTGGGGCTTTCGTGCTCAGCAACGATAATAATACAACAAAAACCCCAAGTGACGTAAAAATTATCTTACAAGTCAAGGTCAAGAGGTCATCACAGCCAGTGCTGTTAAGTGATCACCACACCACGCCATCGCTCCCTTCTTTCTGCCGGATCCCACAGCTGTTGCACAGTGAATTCAAGGCCATCGCCTGGTTCGCGCAGCGGGAGGCGATTGCCTCTGTTGGACCCTCAGGGCGTTCACCTGCACCTGGGGCTGTGCCACAACACGTGCAGCCTACATTACTGTGTCGCCCACTTTCATCCGAACATCTAACGAGGGCAGCTGACGGCTTTGATCTCAGGACACGCAAATGACCTGGTTGGTCCCATCATTTAAGCCGCATCATTTATATTAAATATTTCGTGATAATTTAAAATATAAAATTCGCTTGCTGCCGACGATGGTATGCTTTCATCATGGGCGGAGTTTGACTTCTGTATTTGGAGGGGGGGGGGGCAGTGGGCAGGGGTTCGCTTTGTCCCTCACATTACGAATCGCGGGTGCATATATATAAATAATTGTCAACTACTGAAACTACATTAATAAAGGTGACCAGTTTGGATGGGGTGTTGCCCCCCCCCCCACACGACCCCCGCAAATTCCACCCATCGCTTTCATGTGGGGGGTTTCCTCTGGGTTTGAGCAGACGAGAGCCCTCTTAGGTGCAGCAGCAGCAGAACAAAAACCTTTCTGCTTCACGTATTAGAAACATCGACCTGCTGCAACTTGTTGAGGCTGAGCTGACCTACTGGCGGCCCATCACCAGGTGCAGATACTTGAATCGAAGCAAAGTCACGGCAATAAAAAGCACAAAGTCCTTCGACCAAAGTAAGCCCTCACCTTGTAAGATTCAATATAGTTTTTGTTGCTGCTGATGTAATAAATATATGTGGAGAAATTTGGTCAACTTTATGCCACGTTTGTGAGTAAATTCAAGAGATGATTTGTACACTTGCAGATTTGCTCCATTCCTATAGCGCAGAGCCACCGTGAAGGTGCTATACGCTTCATATCCGAGTATAGTCTGAAGTAGATCCACAGTAATAACCCGCTGTTGCTCTGCGGTTTGATCAAATTTCGGGAAATTTGCGAGCATTTTAAAATGTTGCAAATTGAGACCGTGACACCGGCACACATGGCCTCTGGCTCTTTTCCCAAGAACACGAAGCGAACGGCGCGTATTTATGGTTGATACACCCCTAGTATTACCCAGGGCGGTCGCCGAGTTCGAACCGCCAACCTCTGCAAAAGGCAGCAGCTGGTTCAAATGCCACTCGCCACTGATGTCAGCCACTGCCTGCAATCGTACTGAAATGGGCCCTGCTCTGTTTATTAATTTATTTTAAAAACTAATTACAATCTTGCTTCTTGTGTATTCCACCATCTCTCTCTGCCTCCCTCCCTCTCTCTCTCTCTTCACAGACGACCCTCGCTCGTAACCTGACATTTTCTCCGCGGTCGCGCAAACGTGCTCAACGCACTTTACAAAACCAGCGACTGCTCGTCGCGCGACCAGGCGGCGAAACCATGGCTCAGGCTGGCAGCCTCCTGCTGCTGCTGCTGCTGGCCACGTGCCTTGGCCTCGCGGCCGCTCTGCTGCCCGGTGCAGGAGACACGAGCCCCAGACACGCGAGCCCTGGAGACACGGGACCGGGAGACGCGAGCCCAAGAGACTTGAGCTCAGGATACGCAAGCCGCAGATACACGAGCCCGGGAGCGCCGACGAGCCCGGGAGATGCGAACTTAGGATCCGCGGGCTCTAGGCACACGAGTACCGGGGACGCGAGTCCAGGGACCGCCACGGCACTGGCTCCCACCGCGTGGCATCCCATGAGCTTGGGCTCAACTGCCGCCCGGATGCTGCTGCTGGCCATGTTTCGGGCTCACCGCCGCGCGGCCGTTTCTTCCTCCGGGGACGGACCGCTGCCAGACGGCGCCGATGAATCACCGGCTCCGACGTCGAGGTCAACAGCGGCGGCGGCCATGGCATTGTCCATGTTGCAGTCGTTGATGTCTCATCGGCACCCCGCTCGCAACGGAACGCTCGCTTCAGAAGGTCCTGCGATCAGCTGGGGCCCCCTGGACGCGAGCAAGGAGGATGCTGCGCTCGCCTCCATGCAGACGGAGCGAGACGTCGACCTGGCCCTGCCCGGCGATGCCGAGGGTCCGACGTCGATCGTGACGCCAGGGGAGGAGAGGTCGGAGGAGAGGTCGGAGGAGGATGAGGACAAGTCCTCGTTCGTGGCGTCGTTGGTGGACGAGGGTTTGCTGCCGGCCACGTACGACGGCGTCGCTCCAGCCTCGGCGTCCATGAGCGAGGGTGGAGGGGAGCCGTGGGGCCGATGGGAGGAATCTCCGACCGCGGGGTGGTCCTCTTCGACCAGTCACGCAACGAAACGATGGCAGGGAGGAGGGTGGGCTTTCACATCGGCCAGCCGGGCCTCCTCCGCTACGCGGGGCCCCAACGTGGCGAGAGAGACACCGAGCGAGATGACCCCGACACGCACGGCCGCCATGCCGACCGCGGCGCGAGAGGAAGACGATGCGTTTGGCACGAGTCGAACGCCGACGACCCGTTCTGTCGGTGCACGCGGAATCACCCTCAGCAGCAGCGCAGGCATCGTGACAACAACAGCAGCAGCAGCAGCACCGACCTCAGCACGGTTCACGAACCCCACCGCAAAACCGAGCGCCACCAGATTGTGGGACTCTCCGCCGACATCGCACGCGACGGCGGCGGCGCAAGCCGGAGGCGACTTTGAGAGGAGCAGCGTCGGCAGCGAGGTGTTGCTCACGAGCAGCGAGCCACCTCCGAGCGATTCATCTCAGACGATGGCCCTGACGGGCCCATCCCGCGACGGCGGCGGCTCCGCTTTCACCCCGACGGCGGCAGCAGCGGTGGCGGAAAATTCACCGGGCCGCTCGGAAATTCCACGTGCGTCAGCGTCCCCCGCTCCGGCGATCTCCTCGGGGACGGGCAGCTGGGCGAAGCGCCTGCCCAGCAGCTCGTCTGCCCAAGCGTCCTCTGGCTCCACGCGACTTGGCGCTGGCGTCGGCAGCAGCAGCAGCGGCAGCACAGAGGCCCCCGGGAGACGAGCGCGGCCGCCGTGGCAGATGGCATCGTCGTCGTCGCCCGCCGCCACGTCTCCTGATTTCCCCGGGGGGTCCGGGACCTCCTCTCGCTCCGTCGCTCGGACGTCGGCGGGCAGCGTCATTTGGAATGACCGCGACGGTGGCGACGGCGGCGATGGTGACGATGGACATTTAAATTCGCCCTCCATCACCACGCCCGTCACCTGGCCGCAGGGCCACGGTGAGCGTGAGTCTCTCAGCATCGAGGGCCCTCGCTCAACCGCCGCCGCCTCAACAGCCGCTGCCGCTCCTGCCGCCGTTGCCACGGCGATGCCGGGGACATCTGTTGGCAGCGGTGGCACTAACGGGGCGGGCGGAGGCGGCGGAGACCCCACGCCGGGGTCGGCTTGGGGTCGGGAGGTCATGGTGGACGTTGGTGTGGGCGCGGAGCAGTGGGCAGCCGAGAGGGACACGTGGGGCTGGACTCAGCACACCCGGCGCGACGCAGGTGGGTGCTCCGCTCGCGGCGAGAAGCGAGAACCCCTGAGTCAATAGGCGACGCGCGGTGCACGCAGTTTTTCTCTGAGTGGTCGCAACTGATCTCGGTTGGTAGAACTGCAGGATTTCCCAGTTGTGAGGTTTGAGAGCTGAGATCCTGGCCCCGGACTTGATTTTTTATTGCAGTCGTCATCGTTGCCATCATTGTCCTACCAGCCCTACAATTTCTTGCACGTGCCACTGCTGACAGAAAGGGAGCTCTCGTGAGCTGCTCTAGAGAGGCAGTGTTTGGCCTACACTTCCACGCTGGCCAGGTGTCTAGGAAGAGGTGGGAGCGCCCGCACTTTACTGCACTGCACGCGAGCTGCCGATTGGATGTGCACCATTCCTTGACTGACATGAAAATGAGCACCACGCATTTGCAATTCCCCGTCAAAGCAATGTGGAATTTCCATCATTGCCAAAGAATCACGCAACGTGTGATTGAGCCTGTGAGATTCCCTCTGTTGAATTGTAATGTGCGATGCCAGGCTGCAGTGAGGACGTGGGAAGGCAGAGGTTTTAAGCAAAAGACACCAACCTCAATTAAAAAAAAATCTCATCAATTCTGGCATTTGTAAAATGTTGCTAATGGAATTCTCGGTGCACGGGCAATGGCATGATAATTCACGAATCTATGTCACGTCGTAAAAAAAAATGTGAACGAAAAAATAGGAGTGCATTTCGGGGGCTCAGTGGCTCGTTTATCAGACACAGCCGTTATGAGCAGACCCCCTGATCCACTTAGCCTCCTCGCCATTCACATTCCAATCGTAAAGTCCGTGGCTTCGCGAGTGGCAGCTTTCGGAGCCAGACTGGATCTCAAACTTCATGCTCCAGGCTGCCGATTGGCTGACTTCAAAGAGTGGACCGCGTTTTGCCCGTAAACGCTCAAATCTGCCACCCCCAGACCACAGCGTCCGCTCTCGTGACGCCGGAAAGCGCCTGGGCTGTGTTGCATTTGACAGAAAGCGACGCCAACAAAACCTTGCGCTTAATCGAGGCCGGTCTGATCGATGGGGCATGAGTAAAAACTAATTTGGGCAAGGACGCACTTCCTTTATCGCCTTAATTCCTACTCGACTGTCGCACGCCATTAAACAAACGGGCATTGCTTCGTAACGTTCGGGTCCCAGGCCCGATGATTTACGGTGCTAAGGTGGTAAATTGTTACGTAATTGTTGCTGGAGTGCCCAGCTTTGGCTTTGTGAACCTAGTCCCGACCGATGGACCTGTCGCGACACAGTCATCGGGTAAGGGCACACCGCAGGGGGCGTGCAACCTCTAACCCTTGCACATGTGGGTGTCTCAGCAGCGAAATGTTGACTACCTCGCCTGGTATACAGGAGGTCGTGGGTTCGATCCCAACCCTGATGCCTATATATTTGGAGATTGCATGTTCTACCCGTGGCAGCGTGGATTTTTCTCTGGGTCCTCCAGTATTTCCCTGCACATTTAGAAACGTGCGTTTAGAGTCTTTGTGATAGATTTCCACGTGATAAGCCGCTTGGTCGAGCTTTCAATTGTGGTCAGGTCGCTTCTGAAAATTAGCTTTGTAGCTCAGTGGGCGAGACCACGGGACTGTAATGGCAGTACGTTAGGATTCGTTTGCTTGAGCCGCTGTTGAATCGCCACGGGTGTCAGCGGCGAGCGAGATCCGAACCGGTACCGAGCAACCCCTCCCCACCAACCTGCACTGACCAGTGTGGTGAAGTATGGTCAAAGGACTCCCACTTTTCGCACAGCACATGGATGGACAAAAAACCCCGTACGTGTACACGTGCTCGAACTTGCAATTCAACTACCGTACACTCGTACGTATCGACGCAAACACTTCGCATCCTAAGAATAATGACCGTACATCGACGCGTAACATTTCATTTGCAGCCATCGGCTCGGGACGGAGGTAACACAATTCCTACAGGTCATCCAACACCGCCTTTCCCTGCGCGGCATTCATTCAGAATTTAATTCGTGCGTATAAAAACTAAAATATCACACAAAGGAAGCCCTGGCCAAAAAAAACAAAAACCTTAACGAGCTATGAGAAACAGCTCCCCCCCCGCCCCCCCACCGAACGAGAAGTGGCGTTGGATGAGACGGAGCGGAAGGGCGGGCGGTGCTCTCGGTCACCTGCGGCGAGGAAACTCGGCGGCACAAAGGGCGCATTGACCCTCGCCGGGAGTAATTGCGCCACGACGAAAGCAACGTTCGGGCCGGGCGGCGACAAAAGCCTCGCCTGTGTCGGCCGCGGCGGAAGGCGCACAAAGGAATGGAGCACAAACGCGGGGGGGGAGGGCCGCGGCGCTCTCCTCGTGTGGCTGCGCACTTCCACCAATTAAGCGGTTTTAAGAGTTTCGAAAACCGACGCCAGATTTTTTTTTTTACTGTTGCACCTGACGGTTTTGCGTCTAACAGATGATCGCCGTTGTTGCTGTTGGGTTCAATTAGGCGCTCGCCCACGGCTCCGAGTTGCGGGTGCTGATGTTGAGTCGCAAAGAATCGCGAAGGGCTCCTTCGGATGGGCTCTGCGAGCTTTGAGCAATCACGTAGATTATTTTTTTTACTTTACGGATAACACCGGTGGCTTAGGCATGATCACTCTCTTATGGCGGTGTACTTTCTAAATATGAAACGAAGACACAAATTGGCACTGGCGTTCTGGCAACGGCTCCGATGTTATTAATATCGCCGCTGTGATTGAATGTTAGCGAATATTTTTTCTGTTGTGGTTTGGTTGAGTGGCAGCCGGGCTCCCTAAGTTGTTGTGAGATCGCCACACGAACCATTCTGAGCAGAGTTAACTCGACCCCCCACCCCCCACCATCGTCCCGTTTGTCACTCTCCAATAATCATCATCATCTCTTTGTGGTTGGTAAAATAAGACTCAATTCTAGATTTGAAGCTTTCGTGACTGCAAGGATCCATACTCTTTGGTTCTATTCGGTAAAGTCACGTAGGTAAAAAATAAAACAACAAAAATCACGACGTTTCGGCCACAACACAAGCGGCCTTCATCAGGTGAAGGGACCATACTGTCTCGAGGACAGCGCTGGAGTGAACACAGCCAGGCTCAGACAGCGACCTTTAAGCTGTGTGAGAGGAATTAAGGTGCCTTGACAAAGGAATTAGCATAAAAATTTGCATTTAATTGGCGGACTTAGCATGATGAACGGTGTAGAGGGGGTGAACACGTGCAGGCCGGCGAGGGGGGGAGGGGGAGTTTACATATTGATGGTGTGAAAAGCGACTCACCTGGTGAGGCTGAGGCACGTGGTGGGAAGCCGACGGTGATCGTTGCGTTAAATACAGAGCGGTCTCTACGTTTTAGATCGAAAGTTCATTTCTGTAGAGCTGCTTTGTTTGTGTTTAGTTTGTTGTCCTTCCACCGCGCCTCCAATTCGCGCGGTTGGCTACGTACGGTGCGAAAGAAGTTCAACATCCGTACAGGGATGCTGCCGCGGCGTTAACGCTTTAGCACGCTGGGCTTGCAATGTCTAAAATGTGCCCACCGAGTAGAATGCAGATGGGTAGTTCACAGTCAGCCGATCTGCAAGTTGCGTGTCGTGAGACAGAGTGCGGGCATTCCCCACCTCTTCCCAGACGTCTAGCCGGCGTGGAAAAGCAGGCCAAGTACAGGATACCATCTGGAGGGGCTCTTTAGAGCTGCCGTGGGTGGAAGCCCTTCCACCATCGGTGGCGTCAGCATGCACGTGCAGGGCTGCGCCTTTACCATCGCCATCCTTCTTGCAGTGTGGAATTTCCCCACGAGCAACAGAGGCAAATGCAGCCATTAAAAACCGCGCGCGCGTGTTGCGTTATGTGCACTTCGCGGCATTGGTCCTGCAAGTAATTTGAAGGCAGGAGGAAAAGCGAACTGTAAATTTAGTAATAGCACAACGAAAGAAAGAAATAAGGGCAGTAAATAAATTGTACGAAAAAAAAATTGAATTAAACAAAACGGGGCATTGAAGAAGGGTAGATGGGGGGGGGTGTAAGGTTCTATATGGAACTGACTTGTAAAAATAATAAGAGCAACATAACAAACGGGTGGCTGTGGGCCGAGCGGCAGGAAGAGAAATCCAGCAAGAAAATAGTCCCAAGTGGCAGGCTACCCCTCCGTGTGGACCCAGGGTCGGTCGGTCGCTCACCCCACTCGCCTCCCGCCTCTTCCGTCCGACGAATCTGGCTCCCCGCGCCTCACTCAGACAGTCAGAGCGAACGGCCAAGCGCTCGTCAGTTCAGCAACCGTTGATTAACGAGGCGGTGGGACATCGATGGAAACGGTCCAAGTCGTGCGGTGACTCGGAGGCAGTCACCACCAGTGTTTGGCAGAGAAGTGGCCAAAAAGGTGAAATCGCCCGTCCGCCGGTGAATGAATGATGCCATCGGTGATGTTTGCAAGAGACCTAGATGAGCAAGTACGCGTGCACGTGTGTACACGCGTACGTGCACAGCCCTTTTGGGTGTCCACGTGTGGGTTATTTGACCATAAGTTCATCACGCCGGTCAGTGCGGGTTGGTGAAGGTGGAGTCGTAAAAGATATCGGGGCATAGTACGGTACAACGTTCTACACCGCACCTCTACTGCCACTATAGCCCCCCCCCCCCCCCAGGAACAACCTACAATAATTTAGAGGGGGAAGGAAACTAAATGAACATTAATCAATACGAAACTTTAATGTGATATGAAACTAAAATAAATAAATAGATATGTTCACTGCATATTGAAAATGCTAGCACCATAGAAAACAATACACACTTACACATGGTTTAAACATAAGAAATAATTGAAAGAAATAGTTGCAATGTACAACCCTTCCGAAATCCACTGCTAGGTGGAATTGTGCCCCACTCGTATCAGTCATGGGCGTTGTCTGTCCGCACATCACCAAACGCTGTCCCAGTGCTGGGTTTTGTAAGGGGGCCTGGGACAGGTTCAGATGTCACTTGGCACTGACGCCCGCTGTG